ATAAATGTGTAATCGTACCGAAGTGACAGTTCAAATAAATCTTATTAAGATTTTGTAATTTCATGTTTACATTTCAATGGAGTATAAAAATTAAGAAATATAAGTGAAGACATTATTGTAAATATTAAATATTTATAATAGCATGAATGTTTAATCGTATCGTAGTGACATTTCAAATAAATCATATTGAAATTTTACAATTTTATTTTGAAAATTTAATGATATATCATAGTTAACCATATTTTTTAAATTTTTTGTTTCAGTTATGGCACATTTTATGCATTTTTTTAAATTTAGACAGATCACGAGAATTTTATTTCATAAGACGAGAGTAATCCTTATCGTCCTACTAATCAGTATAATATTTTTACTACCACATTCGAACGGTAGTGTAGCATAGGCGTTGCGTGTCATCAATGACTCATTACATGCTCGATATTCCATTAAGAATGATAAAATATGTATCTAGGATGGGAATTACTGTGCGGAGAATTAACGATGTTATTCCTTTAAACTATGTTTATAGTTCGTTTTTCTTGATGTTTAAAAACTATTTTTAGAAACTATTTATAGCAATTTAATTACAGAAGATAGAATAAAATTTACTACATACTTGTTACATTAATATATTTAAATAAAAATGTTAATGTACATTCTGCAAATTTCATTTTTATTATTACTTTGCTATTTTATTTAATGAAATTTCTAATTCCAAGTTTCATTTTACAACTTACAATATAAATCAAATTTTTTGCTTCATTGCCACATTGTTATCAGAACCTATTTACACATCTTCTTGCATTGAAACAGATTAATCACCTCTATTGCTAAATCAGTTTTCATATCTGCACATGCATGACCTAAATACAAAAATTATAATCCATTTCAGGTCTTGTACTATTAGCTTTCTAGATTCCCTTGCACTATACCTTGTGTATTAACAAATTATTTTCACAAAACTGTTATCAGCACTCCAAAGAATTTAAATTTACAAGATTATTTCATTTACAAAATTCATCCCATATATTCTGAAACTATATTTAAAATATTTTTAAATATCCTTTTTATCACTCAGTTCATTCAAATTCTCTAAATAACCCAATTTACATATTACTAAAAATTTGCTTCACATGCAATTTACATCTCTCAATTTATTTCACACCGAACATTTCAATATGCTAGAATTTAAAGTACAAATGACAAATCTATATCTAAAAATTCTTTCACACTGACCAGAAAACGTTTCCCAATTTTCTCGTTAATTCAGAAATGATACACCTAACACCTACACAACGGTACAAGCGGTGGAATTTGAAGTGCATTTTCCGTATTACGGAACGCCGAAAACGGGATACAATTGTTTAGTTCTCAGAGGAAGAATGTCAGTCGTTTCACAGGTAATGATGTAGGCGTGCCACCCGAACATACCCGCGGTAATGTGCGGTCTGCGGTTGCGTTACAATTAACACCGTGCTCGCTAACTTCTTCCGGAAAGTAAGGTTGCACGTCTTTAAGTATACACATCTTGACTAGGGTTCCTCCGCTCCTGACATTTGAGGTACACATGCTGCAATTACCCTGATCAATTAAGTTTCGTAATAACCGTTGGTATTTTTACGTGAAAACGTAGGCTGGATCGCGGAATATTTTCACGTTTATGATAGGTAAGTTGCCAAATGAATAAACGATATAAGAGGAAGTTCTTGGATAAGCTAATTTATGTAATGCACAAATTACACTTTGAATTAAAATCTACTTAAGATGTTTTTCGTCATTTTTTGGAATTAAATGATATATTTTAGAGTGACTGATTTAAGTTTTTCGTGGAGAATCTTGAAACAGCATTTTAACCATTATAAATTAAATGTACACGAGTTTATCGAAATAATTCGAATTTTAATATTAATAGTGAAGTACCTGTTAGAAGTGTTACTGGTTCGGATTGGGAGAATAAAAAATGATGTAGGAGTAATAAAACACTGGTGAAGGTGAGACGTGGTAGTGTTCTTTAATATTGTGTCTGCATGTAATTTGAGAAATAAAAATGAAAATCTTGAGTTTCGTATGTAAATGATGTACGTAGGTTTATATAGATTCTCGTTCGTGAGTATTAGGGCACTTATTGAATGTGAAGCATACTGAAGTCTATAGAAGTCTGTTGAAATCTACCAAAATCTACTAAAATCTGAATTTTGTATGCTGAATTTTATAAAAATCTACTGTACTCTACTAATATCTATCTAAATCTTTTGAAATCTACTAAAACCTACTACGAATTACTAAAATCTATTAGAATCTACTGAAATATACTAAATTTTATTAAAATCTTCGCAAATCTACTGAAATCCACTAAAATCTACTTCCTGAATACGCAGCAAGCCTCACTATCATTACAAATTTAACACAAAATTATTTTCTAGACTCTCGAAGTATAACAAATGCATTTTTGCTGACATACGACCCTAACTTTGACGAGAAAATATTATTTAAATCACATAACATATTTTACACGAACATAATGTCTGTCCTAATAATTAAAACAACACTGTACGTATCTCGTTAGAGGACCAACATGTATCTACACCTAAAAAGGCGTCGAAAAGTGAAATTAAAGCATCGTTTCCTCCATTCACAATCAAACCTCTTCCTTCCAGTCTGAAAAATAACGGACACATTAGTATTCCTCCAAAGTAAAAGTACGGTACACGATAAATACGCACGGTACGGCACTACAAACGTGAGGTTGAGCAACCCGACTGTCTCAAAATTCCGCGTAACAATGACTCGGAACTGCTAGGGGGAAAACACAACGACAATTCGCGAGGGACGCAACAAGGGACCGAGAAAAGAGATATACAACCGATACGTCCGCGACAAGACCTATCAAGGTGGCATCAAAAAAAAAAAAAAGAGTCTTTGTACGAAACCCCGAGGAAATTGCGTGATGTAATAATTGTCCTGTGGGAGTGTCTAGAATAGAACTCCTCGAATACCACAATGCGAATATTGCACACTATGGGAACTATTGTTACAGATTTTACAGTCTGCTACTGTTCTTGCTTGGCCGCGAACTCCCACGTGGCTTTCACTTGTGTCCCCGCGGGTCCAAAAGTTCTTCGCCTTCTATTCTGTCGTCGGCCACCACCTTCTTCGTCTCTCTCTCTCCCCGAATCGCCATCTACGTACGAGGAAACTTCCGCTCTTTTTTGTCGCCGCTTTGCCTGCACTTTCATCGTGATCGACACGAACCGACGAGTTTTTTTTCTCCTATTCTTCCTTTCCTCTCGCCGTGCAAACGAAAGTTGGAGGTCCTTTCTACGGATAATTAGCAAAAGTCAGCTGCATTGTGGAAACGCGGGGAATTGCACGGCGGAGAGGAAAAGGTTCGGACTGTGAGTCGATCTTGTCTCGAACGATGAAATGTTTCGCAGGTTCGAACGAAGAGGAGATTGTTTAGGATGTTTTGTTTGCCGTGAGACTGATATTAGGGATGAGTTAGGTTTAAACGGTGAGTGAAGGATGCGTTTAGCGGATGGAATTACGTTAGGATGAACGTAATTATGGGTGAAAAGTTTATAACCCATTGTTACGGAGACATTTATCGTGCATTACGTTGTTGGATTTGTTGGTAGTGTGTTGATGAGATGTTTGTGTGTTAGTTTGTGAAGAGAAAATGTGTGGAACGCGCGAAGGAAGTGGAGGTTATTTGTGTGAAATGTTGGGACGTAGTTGGAATTGGAATTAGTATTGGGATATTTGATTGGTTCGAGTGGAGAGGAAATTGATCGTAATGTTGGGCGTATCGTGTAGTAAGAGTGATTTTTAAAGGATTTGGGTAACTTTAATTTTGATATTAAAATTGATATTTATTATACGGAATGAAAACAGTTTTCTTAAAATAAACGTAATACAGTCAGGATATACAAAATTATGGCTAGGTTTGTACTAAAATCATTCTATATTAATCACTATTATCTTTACAAACTTGTTACATGATTAAACAAAACAAGGTTTGAATGTCGTGAATCATAATTAATTAACATTAAAGATAATTAAAATTAAAATTAAAAGTAAAGGTAATGAAAATTCTTTCTAAATATTTCATACAACAAGTGTATTTCACAATCCGCAAAATGTCCCAAATATTAGGTTGTTGCATATCAAATGGCCGATTTTGCATCAATTTAAATCTAGAAGTTAACCAAAACCAAAAACCAAATCATCTGTAATTTAGTAGTCAAATAATTGACAAACCACTGTGGTGTCACTGTTAAATTGGAGACAGAGTACCACGAATCAAGATCAAATTCCACTGACCACTTTTTACCTCCAAAATTTAATAACGAAACTGAACTGAAGAACATTTTCAAAGACCCCCTTAAACCATAGAAATAAAGAGTTTTCTTTTAACAATCACATAAATAACCTTATTTTCCAATTATTAAATCGTACTGAAACCAACGGATCATTTTCACTAAAACTGCATACATGAAAAGTTTCATTAGTACTTCTCTTCAAACTTCCAATCCTTTCACATAAATTAAATACCCTACCCTCAAAAATTAAATCATATCCTTTCAAAATACAGCAAAACCGAAACAAACTCCAAAAACAGGAAAAATTAGTCGAGAATAATAAACTTCACTCCACTCGATTCGACATAAACGAAATAAAAATTTCATCTATTTGAATAAAACGAGTCGAATTACACCGCAATTTTGCATCGCAACGATTTCAAATCGGGCAGCGTGTATAAAACTGAATGAAAATTGCACAACTTCCAATCTCCGCCGGCAAGAATGCCCCGATTAAGCGCGTGTTATTCAATATTACACCTTTCCGTGGGTAACGTTTAGGGGTCATCAAGGTTGAACGTGTTCTCCTAGAGAGTATTCGAACCTGGTGGAATAAGGTGGTGGTTGTCTGGTGTGTCACTCTATATATAACGGCGGCGAGCACCCCACGCGATATTAAAGAACGTTCACCGCATCTGCGGTAACATGGTTTCCAGTTACAAGGTACTTGCTCCTCGCAGCGCACTCACGATCCACCGGCCAGTGTGGCAATGTGTTCGCCGTGTCGGGCAAATTGACTTAATTAGTATCGAGTAATTATAAAGGATAATGATAAGGTAGCAGGAATTTAATTAGGGTATATAAAGTTCGCCACGGGGGGTATTATATTTCACTGTGCGTTCCAGGTGATTGTGAATATTTACAGTGCGTCGTTTCGCTTGTAGTGCACGGTTTTTATAGTTCATCGCCAAGTGTCGACGGTTCTTTAAATTGATCTCACTTGAGGCGTTTACGTTGAGTGAGAAGTGCCCCGAGGTGTTTCAATTTACCGAGTTTCGTTTCTTTTATTGTCGTATCTTCTTTCTGTCACGTTTCGCAATTGTGTGACGAATAGTATTTTGCTACTGTGATTAAAGTAAATTCATGCATTTCAGTTTCTTCCTGTCACATTTGTCACTGCACGAGATTATTTCAAAAACTGTGTGACGAACTTTAAAAAAGACTTTCATTACCTATAAATATGTTAAAAATGAATAATTTTGAAAAATGAATAATCTGAAAATTACTTTATTATTTACTTCGAGTGCTTGCATCGCTGAAAAATAGATATTCAAAGGGTACACGATACTTTTCCACCAAAGTGTATAAAGTATTCAAGGTTTCTGTGTAAATTCTCGTTCAAATTGAAATTAAATCCGATTGAAAATGAATGAATGAAAATCATCATAGTTAATCACGTTTCGTTCTTTTATCTACAGAAATTGTCACCTACATTTAAGATGACGCCATGGCTGATGGCAATATTCTGTCTGGCAACCGCGGGCTGCACAAACGTTACGGATCAGCTAACATCTGAGACACATCATGATCAGCAGGTGGCGATCTTGAAACAAATCAGAAAGGTGAACGAAGACGGTTCTTACACGTATGGATACGAAGCAGGCGACGGATCCTTCAAGGTAAGATTAGATAGCTATTGCACCGTTTAATGCGAAAGGCATGTAACGGGCGTTCTACGTTTCTTAACACTTGTGTAAACGTTTCTTCACACGCTGCTGCAGGAAAAATGTAACATTTCAGTGAGCTAATTATGCGTCGTTAAATCTGTTGAACCTGGATAACGCTTGTCTTCTAATAACTGGACGTAAAACAAATACCTTCTTTTAGTGGTTTCAGCAAGTTAATTGTACATAAGTAGAAGATTTTCTCAGAACAGGTTGAACACAGACATTACAGAACTTGAACAGATTTAACATAAATACAAAATTTTCAATTTTCATGTATAAATATTTTATCCTTGTGTTATCCATTTTCTCTTTAAAAGTATCATTAGATTCAATAAATAAATACTCATCAATTCGATTTGGTAACTCAAAATAAATAATTAAAAAAATTTTTATGTCAATAATGTTAGTAAAATGAAATACAAATATCATTTTCTTAATACAGTCCATTGAAGAAAACTAGGATTTTGTAGAAACGCGCCTGATACAAAATGAAATCATTAAAAAAGGAGAGAAGAAAATTTATATTTAACATTTTCAGTCAGGGGACCTTCTAATAAAACGCGAAAATTCTTTTGAACTCGGTAACTAAATATTTCGAAAATAACTCAATAAAAGAAAATTTCCTGAACCCGAGAAATTATTGTCAGGTCGAGAGTCGCGACGTTCTAGGCAACATCAAGGGTACATTCGGTTTCGTCGACGCAGACGGCGAAATAAAGAGGGTGTCGTACTCTTCCTCTAACGGGACAGGATTTAAAGCAACCACCGTGTCGCCATTACAGGAACACGTGTCCGTCGTGCAGAGCATTCCGCGTGTAAATCGTACAACAACAACCAAGAAGCCAAGCGTCGTCTATCCTTCGTCCACCGAAGCGTCCACAAAGTCATCGGTGGTTCAGTCGATACCGCGAAACAGAAAGACTACAACAACCTCGACAACCACAACTACAACCACCACGGAGCAACCAAAGACTGTATTCGGTCATTACTTGAAAGGAACCGGAAAAAGTAGACCTCGTTTCGTGATAAACGGCCAACAGAGACCGTTGGTAATAGAAGAAGAAGACACAGAGGACGAAGATTCGCAGATAAACCGACCAAGCACGGAAGACAAGACTTCCACCTACAGAAGAATCATCTTCGCCAAACGTCCAGCTGACCAAACTCTTCGACCGATCTCCGACGAGTTCGTAGAGAAAGAAGACGAAGCCAAAGTGACGACTGGAAACACCCTGCGAAGACAACTGCACGAGGAAACTACGAAACCCAATCCAATCGTAGAGACCAGCAGCGACGATCATTCCGACGTTTACGGCGGTTCCTTGTCTACAACTCGACCCCTGTTCACCACGACAACTCCACCGAGAGTTCTTCAACGCGTGTCACCAGCTCGCATCGAGAGGCCAAAGGTTTACCTGAACCGCGAGAATCTCGGACCAGCGAGATTTGAGAACATCAAATACGACAACTCTAGGGTTTACGAAACAGAGACGAAGGCGCCTCAAGAGGAACACACTCAGTCCCAACCGGTGTTAATTCGTGGACCTACTCGAGTTCCTGACAACAGAGAATACGTGAGACAAAGCACCGAGCCAGTCTTCATCAGACACCAACCATCGGTCGCTGATCAGTTCCTGCGTGAACTGCCAGGAGGAAGAATCGTCTTGCCTCCTCAGCAGAGCGTCGAAGAAGATCCTGCCTACAGATCTCTCCCGATCAACAGAATCCTACTGCGTCCTCTACCGAGCCAACAGCCACTCTACTCGACGACCACCGACGCGAATATCCACTATTTGACGGAGAATCCTGCTCTTGCCGAGCAAGAGGAAGATCCAAGAGTCAGCATGGCGCAGGGATACATGCGTCCGAGACCTTTTCCACGACCTGTGATCTTCCAGGAGCCTGAACCGAGGCCCAGGCCAGTTCTCAGGCCTGTCTCACCAGCGGTGGACGACAGGGAATACCAAACGACGCCGGAATATCCTTACAGAGCGAGCACAATCGCTTTGCCTCCGGAACCGCCGAATCCGATCGCTCCTCCGCTCAGCAGACGTGATTTTCAATTGTTGCTGAGAAGACTGCTCGTCAGCCAGTACGGTGTCCAGGCTCTTTCTTATCCTAAGAGTTACCTGGAAGATGCTTTGTACGACCAGCAGCCGTATCCTTCTTATCAGCCAGGCTTTCAGACCACTGCACCGAGACCAGACATCGGCTACGACCAGCACGTTCCTCTTCAGTACGGCGATCGCGTGCCTCTGAGACGTCCTGTGTACACCAGAGCCTTGAATCCTGTCTATCAGCCTCAGCAGTACGAGGATTACAACGACGGAAGGTACTCGAAGAGGGTTTACAGGCAGAAATTTTACACGCAAGAGGTGACCGACGAGGGAGACGAAATTTTACCTGCTCCTATCAGGGAAGCTCTGTTGTTGAGGATGTTACAGCTGGCGATTAATTCGGAACGACCACCTATGGTCTCTACGCCTGTTATGACTACGACGACGCCAGCTTCTAGGTATAGGAAGACTGGACCAGTTAGGAGCGTGCAGATTATTACGGACGAGGAAGAGGAGGAGAAGGAAGCGATGAAGAAGAAAATGTAACGGTTAGATACCTTTGATTAATTTCTGACGTTTCTTGTTAATTCTTTCTTTTTTTTTCGTTGCTGATGACTTCGATGAGTTGCACGTTTCCTTTGGTTCGGTAATTACATTTAAATGAAATGAGAAAGTTGTGTAAGTTTTGATGTGGATTAAGTGCATACTTTGCTTGTGGAGTATTTAATTGTAATTTTTGGCAGGAGGAGTGATTAATAGTTAATATTCACAAATTTTGTGTATAAAATAATTTGTTAGTTTGTTCGTCAGGTTTGTAGTACTTAATAGATTAGCAGAATTAAGGTGTTAAAGAGACAGGTGTTAAAAAAGAAACACATCAGAGTGTACTATTTATTCTTCCTTTTATAATACTGTAATTTATTTATTGCTTTGCAAAGTATTGTCGAAGTTGTAGCATTCACAGACACAAACATATTTTCCAATAATTTTAATTGAAATACGCTATTTAATTCAATTCCAATGTTATCAAATGTTAAAATATGAACTTTTATTTCTATAACTCTACTCAAAAATCAAAAATTGCCTCTTTCATTTGAACTCGTTTCAAACCTTTCTCTTAGACGATTCAATTCACTATACATTGCAGAACCACAGAATAATATTGTCAAAGAATCCCACAAAAATCTTCACGAATTCAAATCGTGCTCACACATTTTCCTCGAAATTACATTTCAGGCTTGCCCGGACGATGCAGAAGAAGCGCGACACTTTACAAGATTACCTCTTCCTCACGGCGTAATCTTCCTTCCTAAGAAAGAGAACAGTCAATAGCTTCAATTTGTAGACAGAAGAAAAGACGTAGTATTAATTACAGTATCTGCGGCGTAATCAGTTACCGCGGCACAATACAATTCAGAAACCGTCGGTTTCCTTCTTTCGGCGCGAATCTCCTACAGAAAAAAAGAGCGTGAGAAAAAAAAAGATCGGAAAAGTAACGTCGATAGACAATCGCGGCGACACAGTTTTCACGGAACAGAACCGGAATCGTCAGCGAGACGAATCGGCTTCTCAGAAAGGGAAATGTACCACGTGTATGTTCGTCCAGCGATTTTCCGCACGACAACTTTCAAGTATCTCGCAACGCTCGTTTTTGCTTTCAAGTCGGATCGTCGTCGGTGCATTTAAGTCAACTAGACGCAAACGCAATTAAACTAACGTATATATGGTCAACCCGGTACATGCGACGATTACGTTGATCTTGCATACTGCTGCATTACACTTACTCCATTTCACCGCATGTGTCACGTTGAATTATAGGATAGACCTTCCAAAGATGACGCGTTAGCACTACGAGTAGAAAACTAAACAGGAAGTATCATTCTAATTTAGCTCCGAGGTAATTACACACGTTTGACGTCATTGTCCGTTTAAAATAACGTTTATCGTGTATGGATTATGTCATTGGTCGCGGATTCAATAATTTACATATAATGTTCCTCGTAATAATTAGAAAGTCTGACATTTCTTGGGTGAATTTTGAATTTTTGCTCGTTTCAAGGTATCTTATTTTTATCGAAATTATCACTTTTAACTGTTACAGTAACCTGCACTGCTTGAAATAAATTTTGCATAAATATTTCCGGTATATTTTATTAATTTAGAAACATTTCATATCGCTCTAAAATAATTATATCGAATCTTTCTCAGATTCGGTATAATTGTCTCGGAAGGCAATTGAATAATAACAGTCAAAATAAGAGATGCAATAAAGAAGAAAGCAGTTTTAAAAATTAGGCAACAATATAATATAATAAATGAACAACTAAAAATATAGAAAACACTAAGTTTTACGTTAGCATCTGATACATAGGGCGAAAAAGCATTCGCAAGGTATTATTACGTCGACTGTAACATTAATAACCACTTTATCGAAGCTGAAAATCTTCCTTCTAATGGCTATCAGTGTCCACAGAGTTTAATGAGAATTTACTGTAACGAAATTGACAATAGCGTCGAACGTGATGGTATTTCCTCGTGACATCGTCATTTAGCCTTCGTTCCATTGTAAATATAATGTTATATAAAACTAGTGTAACATACGTATCGAAATAAAACGAATTAGATGGTAGATAGCGCGGTGTGAAAATTCATTTCATAAGCCTCTGAGATTCAGCGTACCAGGAAAGAATAATAACGTGCCTGCCGTTGGTAATTAGCATCGCGGGTTGCGACACTTTACTGTCGGATACGAGAACCCGTATTTGTTAGACGGCCGTGTTGCCTGCACGATGGCCGCACGACGAGGGTGTAGATCATGGGATTTTGCACGTGGTTTCCACGCATTCACAAGTCCCTTGCCTATTGCCAAATCTCCGGATAGAGACACAGGAAAGTTTCGGCCTATGAGAAGAATGCCTGATTGAAAGTTGACGAGATGAGCCTGGTGCAGGGAAAAAGGGGAGAAAATGGCACAGGAAAGTTGCGATCTGTGAGAAGAATCGTGATTGAAAGTTGACAGGACGATGCTGGTGCAAGGAAAAACGACAGGAAGTTGAGTCTTTTATGAAAAGTGAAACTAAGGAACGAGAGGGAAGTGAAATGAAGTAGAAATTGCAAGAATTTATTTAATTTTGCAATGACATTTTAAGCTACCATTTTCAATTGAAGATGAAGACTTCAAAAATAATTAAAAAGTAGATGGCAGCTATCAATATATTATATTACTCCAATTATTTCAAAGCTGCAATTTCCATAATTCGCTTCAACACGCTCAAAGCACAGAAGCAGCGTTACAATTCCGATTTAGCTTTCTACAGTTCCTTTTATCATTTCTACCCAGTCCCTAATAACATATATCATCCGTAAAGAACTTTCAATAATCTAATAAACGTTATTCGAACATCGAAAACCACGAGCGCAAATGTACACCCGGGACTTTCTTTCACGGGAGAGATATTCTTAAGAAACGTACCCATGCGTGAACTCGAAAAAGTTTCACCTCGTCAGTCTGAAACGTTCAAACATTCTCGACCAAAAAACAGGCGATCTTGATATCAGCACACAGTTACAATAATGGAATATTTAATACGAAACAGAACGGAAACCGGACAGTTTAGCGGTAATACAGGGGAGAATATATTCTTTTTCGTGCAACCTTTCGATTTTTCTGCCGGGGCACCGGATGTACACGCACGTGAAAGGTTGTCGTTAAAAGATAGAAGTATTTGCCAACTTGAACGGTGCTCTTATGTTTTGCAAGCTGCGGCTTCCGGTATCCTGTGAACGTGCCAATGCGTTGCAATGGCGTGCGTAACGTAAAGTAGGAATAGTTCGCCTTCAAACCGACTAATTAGAACGGTCGTACTTTTCATCGACTTTCCACCTCCTTCTCTTGCGCTGATGGAAAGTTGTAAAAGACAGGGTGGTTCATTGTTTTGCCAGGTATGTACGTTACAGAGATGTCTGCGAGCCGCGAAGAAAACCGGGACAAAGGGAAAGAAAGGAGAATTCGCAGAGATCAGATAGCATCTTGATAAATTCTCTTGTTCAGCCAGCAATTGTATACTGAGATATTAAGAGAGAGAGAGAGAGAGAGAGCTGTGCGAGGTTGTATGCTACGAAAAATCTTTACTTCTGACATATTTACGCAAGAATATTAAGATATATTGCGATACTGTGGAGATTAATTGGGTAACTAGGAAATCTGATTGGAATAAATTTGAAAGAATTCTTAGGAATTGTTGGTTGAACTTTTTTTTTATTGAAAATTGTGTAATTTACATTTTATCATGTGTGTGTACATAGTTCATAATTTATTTAACATTTTAGACTGTAGTATATTAAAACTATGAATGATTTTCCAGTCCTTTGTTTTGAAATACATACTATAGAAATTAAAATATTCTTAAAAATTTTTAATTATATATATTTTTTTATAGAAACTTGTGAAATTTACATTTCATCACATTACATACATTATTATAAATAATATCTAAATATTATGAATTTTACTTTGCACTAGAAACTTTAAAAGATGAATAAGTATAACAAAAAACAAATAGAATATGCAAATGAATGGTGAGAAAAATAAAACACGAGACGTACAACGTAACTTCTCTTTACTAAAATAATTTCCACTTAAACTTACATTCCTGCCTAATATCAAATATTCTAAAAAATACTAACAATTATCGCTAAACTCGTAATCTCCTAAATCCATTGTATATACACACTCTTCGGTAACGCTTTTCTCCTAAGGTCCGAAATAGTTCCTTGATAATCTGTACATTCTCCTGCACAACACGAGACTTCTGTCGTACTTACGCGCAACGCTAAAAGGTACTGAATAAATATCATAGTCGCCGCTGCAAGGGCGAGGTTGGATTTAATTGGAGGCTTGAGAAACTTTCGAGTGGACCGAGGCGGAACGAGGCACATTTTTCGCGCTCTCAGCGTCGTCCTCGAGCGGGTAAGGACCAAAAGGCTCCGTCTGGACGCCGACGTCTTCGTAATCAAGCTCCGAGGCGTCTTGTTCGTAAATTGCGTCGTGACTTCGTGGTCGTGCCACGGAAGGAATCCACGGTTGTGGAACACCTTTTCCAAGTGCCAAGAAAACCGCAGCGGTCGTTAGTAGAACGACGGAAGCGACACCGAAAACTAACCGCCACGAACCGGCGATCTGAAATGAACATATTTTTTCTTTTCATTTTGCTGTTTATAACGGTAGATGATATACGATCGTTGAAATCTTCGGTGATTTAAGGTTAAAAGGAGCGTAAAGTGTAACGCGGTTACTGTAATTGGCAGTTAATGGATAGCGAAGAGGTATGAGGAAGTTAGGGCTGGAAGATCGTTAAAATTGTTGCCGCAGTTTCTTTGACATGAACGAGTGTGAAAGGTTTAATACTTCCTGTAATCTAGAGATTCCTGGGAACTCTTTCCTCGGAAAGGTGTAATTCGATAAAGAGACATTAGACATTTTCTGTTTGGATAGATTATTGGGTCATTGGGTCACCTGTTGTGTTTCTACAGGAAGTCTATACTCTGTCATTTGAATCACATTTATTTGCCAAAATTAGTGCTGTATATTAGCAAAAATATCCTAAATCATTTTTTTAGGATCTTAATAATTTTGTGACGACAGTGTTTGTAACAAGTGTTCTAATAGTAATGAACAGGAGTGTACGTTCTTGTTACACGTTTTTATTACTTGGTATGTTCAATAATAATTTGTAAACAGGTCGTTCTTTCTTTGAATTTAGTAGATATTTTAATGACAAATGTCCTTTAAGGATAATTGAATTAAACTAAAATTTAGTTACTGTTTCTACTCTTATTATTTACAAAGTTAACGTAAATTTTTGTTAATATGAAAGTATCGTTCTTTCTTTATATTAACTTTCAGCCAAATTACTTCCAACTGCTTAACACGTTAAACGCCCAGCCTGTTTTTTGGGCCATGCGAACTATACACAGAAGACGACTGACGAAAAGTATACTGTCAGTCACCGGTGACTGACGCGGCGCTTGACGTGTTAAAATCAAAATAAATCAACCCTTTGCACTCCTCCATAATATGCACCATAACTCCGTTCAAGTTTCACTTATACCAAAGTGAAGCAAATTAACAAAAAATCGTGTTAAAATTGTTAGCAAAATGCTCAGAGTGCTAAGGGTTGATACCATTTTCAAAGTTCTACATAATTCTTAGTCGTCTCAAAGTGTACACTTTTATGACATAATTAAGTGTCTCGATAATTTTACGTATAAAACTTACAGAACCGTGCAACGCCTGAGTAACGAAATAATTAGCAGCCAGCAATCCTGCTGCACCTAGAGTAGAGCACAACGCACACGCGGCCGCTGCACAGGCTGGAGATTCTACAGGTGCAAGATCTGCTATAGCCGCCAACGCACCTGCAGGCGCAGTTCCAGAAACGAGAAGAGCGGCTATACCTAACCAGGCTGCCCCCAGAGCCTGACAACCAGCATAACCGGCGACAAAAAGTAGCGCAGCCGGAATGAAATGAGCTGCAAAATACAATAATTGCAAATTAACCCATTCGCTGCGACAGATTTCAGTAAGTAACGCGCGTCGCGACGCGAAATCTCCTATTTCGACCGCGTCATTTTGAAATTTCTCTCGTCAAATTAAGGTAGAAGTACGCCAAAAGGCGCCAACAGCACACTGCTAGTTAAATTTTAAATCAGATCTGTCTGATCAAATTTTATAAATGCCTATAGGCGCCAGCGGCAGTGAAAGGGTTAACTTCTATTATCTGTAGATTTAATTTTCGATAAATTGATTACTTCGCTTGATAAGATTGTTGAATAATAAATGAAGTATCGGTACAACGATAACGTATTGATCTAATTTTAATGTACAACATTTTGATGACATCTGATATAAATACTTTTGAGAATTTTTAAATCGTTTTTTAGAGTTTCAATTTCTCTCAAATGATAGTGTCGTATTCTAGAAGTTCCAAGTCTTGCAATTGATCAAAGATTATTTGAAAAGACCGACAGGAAGATGATAATTGAAGGACAAATTTGGCAGTTACGGTCCTTTCTTCGTATGACGTTAATGTAAGATATCCAAAGTTTAGCGAAGTTTCTCTTTCCTTGGACCGAGAAATGGTAAATCATAATTTAATCGTTCTAATTATAGACAACGGTGATAAAGATTATTCTAGTCGAGAAAGTAAACGTTTTTCGTTAAACTGCATACCGGTATAAACAACCAACTTTCTCGCTGTAGTTGTCGAAACTATTTTTGATTCACGAACATGATCCACCAGGAGGCCGCAGGTTAACGCTGCCATGAAGTGGCCAATGTGAGGTAGTGTCGTCAATACGGAGTCCTGAAAGTAATAAAAATTCAAACTACACTTCAACTTTAATTACTAATTTCTTTTCTAATATATGAAAATATTTTTAAAAATTGTCTTCTCCCTGTGTCTAGAGGAAATTATAAATAAAAATTCCCCTTGCAATATTGACATTTCATAAAATATGTATTATATTACATAAAAAGTAAATAGTGAAAAAATAAAATCGACGGTGGCAACATAAAAAGACTGAGAAACTATCACATATGAAAAAATTATTTTCCATATTGAAATTTTGCAAAAATGGAATTATATTGCTTCAAGAGAAAGTAGTGAACAAATAAGATGCGATCCATAAGAAGATTAAGAAATTAGCACATATGAAAATTTTGCTTTCCATATTGAAATTCTACAGAAAAAAAATACTATATTGCACGCAAAGTAAGTAGCGAAAAAATGTGGTACGCTCAATGTAAGAAATTAGCAAATTGTTAAACATAGTAATTTTTTCTCATGAAATGAAAGACTCACGTTGGCTGTTGAGAATCCGTAAATGAGCTTGAGATACTTCGTCATACCAAGAGCAAGCGTTGCATCGCCCCATTGATTTCCCATGGTTGCTACAGCCGATGCCCAAACCGGAACAGACCGCAGTAATTTTCCCCATGGAATCACCGCTGCCTATTTTATATTTCATTTGATTATTTCCTCCATCGATGAACTCAATTAATCGCGACTTAAGTAAAATAAAAAATATTTGCCCCCTTTTAACAAGACATAAAAATTCGACAATTAGTATCCTTCTTCCTTAATATTTTACGAAATTCCAATTATTTTGTTCCAACCATTCTCAGCAAATCTACGAAATTGCATTACATTAATACGCTTCTGGAAATAGTTTCCGTTTGCTCTTTCGCGACATTAACAGCAAGTAGCAGTGAAAATTAACGAAGCAGTTTATTTAACAATTGGCACGGAAATAATTAACTTGATTTGACGCCTCATTAATTTTATACAACAATGGTATTGCGATTGCAGCAATGCAATATTGTATCATTCATGAAACATCATTTCCATCGTTGTATAATTCATGTTGCAGCAATGTCTCGAATGAAATATTGTTAAAAAAGAAACGAAAGAAGTAGAAAATCAAATATAAAATCGAACTAAAAATTTCCATGTAAGCAAGTTACTTAAATAAATGAAAGATGCATATATAAAAAAGTATAACAGATGCAAAATTCGTGAGAAAAAAAATTACTTTTCAAAGAGAAATCAATCTTACATTTGTATCATGCTGGTAAGATTTCGGTGTATCTTTGACAAATCGTCTGAAAGCGAAGTACCAACACAGTGCAATGAGAACGAGACCGTAGCAAAGAGAATCTCGACCGAAACTTCGAACCACTGCTGTGCCCAACCATCCTGTGAGGCAGTATCCAACACTGACAGCTGTTAAATAATTTAATTTTTCATTAACATTACTTTTACTACAATTTCAGAATTATAATTATTCCTCATTGGTATCATAGCCAATGATAATATTCTAAAGCAGGTTTAAACGTTAATTTTCTTTGTAAAAAAAAAATATGCAGCTGTGAAGTAACAATTTTTCGGTTATCGCATATGTAAAATTTATTTTTCATAATGAAAATAAAGGAATTGTGATTAAAATAGGTGTTGTTCGATGCTATTCCAGATTTGCTTAAGACTACATGCAATTTATTAAATATACAGGTAAAACGTATCTTCGACTCAATTGGCTATTATTCCGAAATTTGCAAATAATAATTTACCAGCGTAACAACTGAAGTACCAACTTCTATGAGTGCTCTTAAACCAGGTCATAGCGAGCATGTGAGCTGCAGGCATAGTTGCGCCCTACAAATGAGAAGTGACGTAATAATTTTCTGCGTTTAAACTAAAGCAAGTGTTATTAGCGACGTTCATATTCATCTAATAGTTCGAATAACTTGGGAACTACTATAATCTGGTAACTTTGAAGATATTGTAAACAACTTAACACGCTAATTTTGTTAAAAATTCCTTGGAATATGGAGAAGGTGAAAAGCAAAGTTTAAGAGTAACAGTTAAAACATTTTCACGATCAAGATTGTCGAAGAGATTTTTAATAAATAATATGAAATATACCTGAAATTGTACAACTTTTGATTCATAATTACTGCCATTGAAGAGTTTTACTTTTATCATATGTAAAGTAATTAAATAGAGTAAATTTTAAGTCGTGAATTAAACATTCCGTTAAATCTTTGTACGCAATTTTATAACACTTGTGTTTCATTCTTACTGTGCACAATCCCTGAAAAAGACGAAGCGCCACGTGAGACGGTCCTCTCCATGCAGCTGGGACCAACAAAGACGCCAAACAGGCACTGAGAACAGCTCGCGAAAATACCATCGATGGACCTGACCTTCCCCATACCAAGCAACCCCCTAAAATTGGCCCAGCCACTTGACCCCATAGAAACACCTCTCTCATTATGGACTCGGCACGTTCCTCTGGCGGTAACTGAAAAGATCGTCGTTTATTTAGGGGTAATAAAACTATCAGTTAAACAGAAATATTACTATGAAATGTTTGATATTAAACTACTTAATTCTTGTTCCTGAAATTAATCCTCTTCATATAGTAAAATCTTACAAGAACAAAGAAGGAAAATACACAGAATCGTAAATACAGTGTACTTAAGCTATCTGCAAAATTCTAATAGAATCTATGATATAGGTGTATATTTCTATTTTGATACTTTGAACTATTGCAAATTAATGCGTCATGAAATTAGTACTGAAAATTAACTTTTTCATTCATGAATGTAGCGTTGATCAATTGATAAACGGATCGAGCAATTAATTTTTGTAAGAGATTATGGTAGAAAGTTCGAGGATATTCAGGCAATAAGATAATAATAAAGTATTTTGTAGAATTTCAGGTAAGGAAAGTTCGAGGGTATTAAGGTAATAATAAAGTATTTTATAGAATTTACCTCCATAAGTATAACTTCGAAGTCTTCGGTGCGATTGCGGCTACTGATGTTGACCAACAGCTCGCAATGCCACGACGTGTCGATAATCGCATGATTGTCTTTTTGATTCGCAAGCAACGCAACCGACGAACTCACCTCAACTGCACCGCAAAGTGCAAATCCTACTGCAACAAGCGCAGCAACGATGTGTCGCGCTCGTACAGCCGCTGATGGATTATAAATCAATTGAAATATATTGTGTAGGATTTTCATCAACAATTCTTCTACGGTATTTTACTTTAAAATATATCTTTCTATGGAATATACAATCATAATTTTTGACATTAATTTTTATCGTACTACGCGACAGTGGGCAAGTTACTATTACGCGCATTGTATACATATATTATCGGCGACACAAAACACCGCCTTTAATAGAACACTGTTTGCTTTTGATAAGTTGATTAAACAGTAGATTCCACAATTCCCACCTTTAATTCACATGTAGCGAAAGATCTTCTAATTGCATGTTGTAACATGTAGGTTTAATTTGAATAACATATTATTTTTTAACTTTTGAGGAACATATTGTGATGTAAATATAAGTACGTGTAATATATTCTTTTTTCCACTTTCTATACTGCGTTATTCTTTCTGTTATGGCAGAAAATAATGGGAAATTTATTTCTATACACTTAGAAAATAATTTAAGGAAGGACAAAATTTATCTCATTTAACACATCAAATTGAGAAAAATGTGACTCAAATGAACTATATGAACCTTCGTTACAAGCAAACATCCAGTTTCTTAATATCTCATCACGTTCATTAACACCGAAAGGACCAGCTAGGTTTAAATGTCCCATTAGAAATTTCCAGAAAAAGGTGAATTTTCAACACTGATAACTATTATCATTTCCAACTTTCTGACTCTGTTTTCTGTACGTTTATCTCTATTTATATCAACATAACACAATTTTCTAATCACGTTTCACATTTCTTTATATGTCACTTTTGAAACGATGCTACTGGGTCATTTTTGACCCAGCAAATCTCTCCAGTGTCGAGTCAAATGTAACGGCAAGTGATTAATTTGCTTAACAATTGACACTTCGAACACATTCGCTACTATTTAACAAAGAGTGTCGCACGATGAAGCGTACCTTTTGCTCGGTTAAAAATCTACTCTTTCTATCACGTGTAATTGAACGAACCTCGAACTTCTTTTGCAGCTTGTTTTATTTGAACACTGCTATGTTTCACCAGCTGCACGCTACCTCTCCTGACGAACTCTGCCATTTTACGAAACACGAAAGGAGTAAAATCAACGAATGCATGACTCTCTTATCACTCGTGCCGTTTGATTCTACGCCTATTATCTCCTTTCCTACCCCGTACAGTACACGCGACCTCGACTTTGGTTTTCTCAGAACGTAATACAAATAATGGTTCTTAAAACAACAATCCGGCGATAAGAAAGTTCTTCTTTTTTCTTTTATCCATTTTTCATTTCGATACATTCATTACTTATACGATGTTAGACACGTCAAGAGAGCACATGTGTTTTAACGTTAACGATAATGTTCGATGATTCGAAGATAACGAAAATTCGTGCTGTTATTGCTGTGTAAGAATGGCGAAAATTACATAACTACAAGTTACGCACAATTGATAATCTGTCGTGATACTCTATCGGTTGCGATACATTTTGATAAACTTTTTGACGCTTTTTAATTTGACATGTGATAAGAGTAGAATTAATGAAATCTTATCAGATCTGTCTATATTGTATCGTGGAGCACCGAATAATAATATAAGTTAATTTTGGAAATTTGACTTCATTTTTATCGATACATTTGAATTAGGTTCCACTGTGATAAATTATTAATTTCAGAGTTTGGGAACTTATGACAAATCTGAGACTAATGTGTTAGAGTGCTCGATATTTAAATTATATAGCGTTGAGGACGTAGAAATTGAAATAATTTGTTAATTAATTCACGAAAGTTTTGAGAAACTATTATGTAAAATAAATATCTTTTACTGTCTTTCGTTCCACTGTGATAAATTATTAAACTCAGAGTCTGGGAACTACACGTAGCAAATCTGAAAATAAGGCGTTGAGTGCGTAAAAAGCAAACTAATTTTTTAATTTTTACTAAATCTTTGAAAAATGATTTACAGAGAATATTACATCTCACATACAGTATTTTTACTCTAGCTTTACTGTAATATTTACATAAAATATAATTAAGCATTGACAACTATTTTCAACACCCACAAACGAGACACATTAATTCATTTAATTGAAGTCCAAATTTAATATACAAAATCTGACAAACGAATAAGTAATTGGACACTCGTTCAATTTCTAATTAATATCAAAACACACTTAATATCGACCCAGGAAGTGTTCACCATCACTCATTGAAACTCCACTTCAGCGTCATTTAACGTCGTATCAATCCAAAGTACGACTATATATTAAAAACTTAATTGCAGCATCTTTCCATAGATCGCACAGCAAACTCGATTAAACGAAGATCTACAATTACAAAAGAAAAAAAAAAACTGTTCTCCTACCTTTCATTTCCAGCGCAGCATGCCTCAGCTGGACGCTTCCACGTTTAAGACGAACAAGAGCTGCCATGGCGATCACTTGTATCGATGCACAGTTCGAGTTTTCATTACGTGGCGCCGGCACCCGTTTGAACACATTTTACGCTGATAGACGAGCCCGTTGTTTCCTCACTGACACCTTTTCCTCTGATCACGGCGATACGGGGCTAATCTGTGCGCCGCGAGTTGCACGAACCGTACTGGTCATCTGGGAGTACGAGTGAATGAACATCTCCGTTAACGAGACTTGATACAATAAGTACCTATGCCAGGTCAGCCTTGAAGCACCGTTTGAGGCCTGCCTCGGGTTATTTTCCCGTCGCTGCCACCACAAAACGATATCTCACAGTGGATTTCGTTCACATGATAACAGCCGAATTCGCGAACGCCTGATACTCGTTATCAGGATCCTGTGAAATATAAAATAACGCGCCTCGTTCTTTTCTTCTTCGCGATTCTTCTCGTGCAAGAACGAGTGTAATGTTTCGGTTCTTCAAAGGGAAGTGTTGTTGGTTCGAAACGATCGGTGTTGTTGGATCGTGATTTGTGGTAGGTGTACCGACAAAGTGTAATTGCAATTTAGTATGAATTTAGGGGGAATGATGTTGATTAATTGTTTTCTCTTTTCTTTTTCTTTTTTATGGATACGTGGTATTTGTAGCGTGTTGTATTTTACGAGAGAGGGAGCAGGAAGAAGAGATTTATGTAGTTGGAGATTGATGCTTGCTAATTGAGTAAGTTCGCGGTATTTGAAGGTGAAGACTTTAATATGGAAGAATAAATTGTACTGTTTCATTCAAGTAATGTGATACTAAGAAAAAACAAACATACCAGTTTTGATAAGAATTAATCTCCTATTTTTCTTTCGATTGTTTGTATGTGTTTTGATTATTCTGCGGTGTGTTTGTGAAAAATATTCGTTGCATGGTTGTATTGTAAATGGAAATATATTGCATACTTGTTTCTATTTAATTCTATAATGATATATTTCTATTTGTAATTTTTGTTATTGTATGTAGAAAGTGTCACGTGATTTGTTTCATAATGTTGTAAAATAGGAATTAACTATAATAGTATTAGAAATATTCATAATAGCGATCAGGCAGTGCATAAAAGATAATATAGTAATAAGAATTATCAAAAATTATTAATTTTGTGTTGTCATAACTTTATTTTTAATTGTATGTACATTATACTTAAGGTGATATATCACTAATACAAATAAAGTGGTAAAAACAAAAGGGTATTTAATTATATTTCTTTATTAAATTTAATGTATCATTTAAAATGGTATATGATTCCTTTATTGTGCATATTTTCATCTCAAAGTATTCAATGATGAATTAATTTAAGTTATAAGTACAATTTGTATGGATCTGTTAAATATTGTACACATATCTTGCTTTAATAACTTTTTCTTGCTTTCACAATATGTTAAATGTCAGTATAATTATTTCCCAATTGCATACAACACTGTATGTGACTTAAAAAATAAAAAAGAATGTGTTAAGGAAAGAAACACTGAAATAATATGATTACCTAAATAGGATTAATAATTATTTCCTCATTATATACACTTCATGTGACTTGAAAAATACAAAAATATTGATTAAAAAAAGAAACACTAAAATAATATGATTACCTAAATAGGATTAATAATTATTTCCTCATTATATACACTTCATGTGACTTGAAAAATACAAAAATATTGATTAAAAAAAGAAACACTAAAATAATATGATTACCTAACTAGGTAAAAATTATTTCCTTATTATATACAGCACTATATGTGACTTAAAAAGTACCACAAAATTTATTAAGAAAAGAAACACCAAAATAGTATGACTACCTAACTAGGTAATAATTATTTCCCAATTATATACAGCACTTTATGTGATTTAAAAAGTACCACAAAATTTAATAAGAAAAGAAACACCAAAATAGTATGACTACCTAACTAGGTAATAATTATTTCCTAATTATATACAGCACTTTATGTGATTTAAAAAGTACCACAAAATTTAATAAGAAAAGAAACACTAAAATAATATCATTACCTAACCAGGTAATAATTATAATAACTAGGATTAACAATTATTTCCTAATTATATACAGCATTTAAAGAATACACAACAGCTTATTAGGAAAAAGAACTACTTAAACTAAGAAATAACTACACTAGGAAATTACTATGAAATAAAGAAACAAAAGAAGTAAAACAAAGTTTCCAAGTAGTTTTATTTTTATTACTGTTAAACCTGGAAATGAATGTATACCGTGTATATGCGCAATATTACGCCGAAGGAATTTTACACTATGTTTATTTTTCAGTAAGAATCACCTCTACTTTCCCCCTCTACCATAAATACATAAACAGACGCTCGAATCCTTGTAAATTTGAGGACAGTCTTGTTCGGAACGCCCTATCGATAGTACCCGTGCTTCTTTTTTCTCGTATTTAAAGTGAATATTCTTTTACGTTCTCTGGCGAGCATTTCGATTATTCCACTTTATTTTAATACTTCTACGTTCTTTTATATATTTATTTCTAATCACACTTACAATTTCGTACTCGTTAAATACGATTCTCATTTTTGTCTACCAAACGAAGCATTGTTTACTGCAGTTCCTTATTCTATATTTCCTTTTGTAATACTATTTGTACAATTTAATAAACAGTAGTCATTTATTACTGTATAATTTACTTTTGAATGCATTCAAATAATTGTTGCAATATTACAATTTTTATTTCGTATAATAATACCACTTTGTTTTGCTTTATCGAGGTTAGGTTACGACAGATTTATGAAAATAAAATTGTGCGTGGTATTAGAGCATAAAATACCCTAAATAACGAGGCAGAGGAAAAGAAATAATTGTGTAAAAATATTTTTCAAACTTGTGTTCAGTGCGTTTATTTTTCCGGCTTCCTGCACAAGGATCCGTGTTCATCAAAATGATAGTTCTACTTCCATCACACTTCCCACTCTATCACCAGTTTAACGATGAATACAACGTAGATAGCAAAATTACTGCAAGGGTAAGTGACTACGTACACTAAAATTCGTATTCACTGTCATATAAGTTTACTAAAAACTGGTAGAATATTCTATGGTGTTGCACTCTCACGTATTACGTAATTAATAAATTTGACACGTTGTTCCAAGTTATTTCGTATAATTTAATAGAATATAAAATTCTATTGTTTGAAATATTCATTTGTTTTTTGAAATTAGATCGTATAATAAAGTTTACAAAGTTAACAAAAGATAGTTTGATAAGGTCAATGCAAATAACAATGAAAATATTTTGAACAGTCGTATAATATCAAATTTCACAGTCCGACCAATGTACAAAACATTGAAATACAATACGTCGCACCACAGAGAAACCAGATCGGTAATATTGAGTTCACTACAGAATCGACTGGCAAAGTTTTCAAATCTTCAATTTTCAATTCCCATTATATGTGTCATAAGTTAAATAAATTTTTCACGTAGAATTACGGCCAAGGTAGAAATAAACATTTTAAAAGCTTATTTCTCTTTCTAAATGAAAAAGAAAAAAATGTTCGTGGAGCGTCTGAAGGTCAACAAGTTCGTTGCTTTACCGACCACAGGTTACATCGCACAGTTGGGTCCCAGTACCCAGTAAAGGACCCCCTTCGGTCCCCGTTCGAT